AGATCCGGACTAGAAAGTGGATGACGCAAATTTATTGTTTAAAAAAGGTTACTGTTATTGAGTTATATGAGTTTCGACTTCAAATTGTAATTGGGCGGTTGCGACAGATGTAGGAACGACACAACTGAAACCAGATACCTGTTTATTATCTGATTAAAGTGGTTATATTTTTACATGGAGGGTGCACAGCATCTTTTTATGGTGGTGTTTCTCGGCAACTCATTTTAACGCCGGAGTTGTTCGCACTTGAAAGAAAACACCTTACAATCACCCCTTAAACTAATTTAAAAATGAAATGTTTTTAATAATTAATAACAAGGGTGTAGTAAACAAAATAGTCTAAATTTACTTTAATTTTTATCATAAATCAAAAAAAAATATATATTATTGTAAAATATATAAGATTTCGTGTAATAATTTTCAATATATTTAAAAGCAGAACAGAGTCGTCAACTAAGCACTACCAGAATAGTACCCTTAAGTTAAGTGCTGCGACTTCAAATAATCGTTACTATCAATTATTATTTTCAATTAATTACTTATTGCCGGAACCATATAAAGGTTATTAATAGAAAATGGCGTCACTGACTTAAGATAATTATGAATATAGAACAAATATTGTCGAGAGTGGAATATACTTGTGCCCGTGACTTGATCTGATTTTAGGCTATTATAAGTAAATAATAGATTAGACTACAGATTTCGAAACAGATGGTTAGTGAAAGTTTTTCGCATTGCGTTCATCGATACATTTTAAACTGGATTAGGGCGACTAACCTCGGTATAGATGACTTTTAATATTTTAAATCTCATAAAGTGGAAATTAAAATAAGAAGAAAAGTTTCAGTATAATGCGGTCACTATAAGATATCCATTACTGTCTTATCCAATTATAAAATAATCATTTTGCTTTGACGAAGGGGCACCTTTTGCTTAATAACTGATGGTGACGTCACTGCCTATGTGTGGTCTTATAACCTCCATTTCTTACTAAATGATGAAATAATGTTCCGATTTGAAAATTTTTTGGTAAATCGATAGATATTCATATCTATATTTTAATATTAATGACTCCATAGTTAACCTCGGTTTGTGAGCCATAGATGCGGAAATACGAAATACGAATCCAGATAGCCATGTCCGTCTGTCCGTATGAACGCTGAGATCTTAGGAACTATAAGAGATACAAAGTTGAGATTAACCATGAAGATTCTTGAGGTCCATAAGCAGCGCAATCTTAATCCTGCATCCTGCCACGCCCACTCTAACGCCCAAAAATCACGAAAAACAAAAACGAAAACTGTAGCGTATATAATATAATAGTGTATGTCTTCGTTTGGCCTAGTATAACATATTTTTGTCAATATCTATCGATTTACCAAAGATTTTTTAAATCGGAACCTTATTTCTCTCTTTATAAAGAAATTTAGGTTATAAGGCCGCACATGGGCAGGTGGCGCTTTGGAAATTTTCACTAGCAAAATTAATATTTTAAAATTGTGTATCTTATCGTATCGTTTCCTCTTGTTTTCGTTAATACATTAAAAAATTGATTCCTTGTCAGCTTCAGATTTGTCTCTTACCTTTTCGTAATACAATAGCCAAGGTAAATTTTTTATGTGGTAGGTCACGCTTCCGTCTCCTTTAAGAAAACTCCTCATTAGCAAGAGTATTAATGAATTGCACGCAATTGCGCCGACAATTCATATTATAGTGTACGAGGTGTGTTCAAAAAGTAAGGTGACTCTTCAAATTTCGCGAATTTCAAATTTTTCGATTATCGATTTTTTTGTTTTGTTATATTGGTACACTCTTCCCTAACATCTGTACCAAGTTTCAATGGAACATCCTCTTTTGTTTGGTTGTGAGAGGCGTAAAGTTACAAGTTGTTTTGCGAGCTCGGCGATTTTTTGCTATCGAAAAATATGGATCAAAGGATTTGGATTTTTTGGCCAAAAACAACACCACAATAATGCCTCAGCCACCATATTCACCGGATTTGGCCCCATGTGACTTTTTCTTGTTCCCAAAACTGAAGATAATCGAAAAATTTGAAAAATTTGAAATTTGAAAAGTCACCTTACTTTTTGAACACACCTCGTATAACTTCTAAAAGGTTTCGATAATCGAAAAATTTGAAATTCGCGAAATTTGAAGAGTCACCTTACTTTTTGAACACACCTCGTAAATAAATTATTGGAAATAATAATAAAGACTTTAGAAAGCACTGTTAACTGTCTCATTTAAATAAAACAAAATTCTATTGCTGAAATTTGTATTTTGAAGGTTATCATGTACCGTAAAATTTCATTTGTGTTGAGCAAAAGATCAAAAAGTGTGAGATCAAAAGTGTCAAAATGCGATGACTAACTTTTTTGTTCTTAAATTAGGTATAAGTTTTATTATGTAGACCAATTCTGGAGTTGTCAGGCCATAAAAAAATAGAAAGCCCATAAATATATGATTTAAGTTTTCTTTTACTTTTAAATATTTATACCCGTTACTCGTAGAGTAAAAGGATATACTAGATTCGTTGAAAAGTATGTAACAGATAGAAGGAAGCGTTTGCGACCCTATATATATTCATGATCAGGATTAATAGCGAAGTCGATTGAGCCATGTCCGTCTGTCCGTCCGTCCGTCCGTATGAACGCTGAGATCTCAGGAACTATAACAGATACAAAGTTGATTAACCATGAAGATTCTTGAGGTCCCGGGACGGCGCAAGTTTATTACAGCATCCTGCCACGCCCACTCTAACCCCCCAAATCGCAAAAAACTAAAATTGCTGAAATCTCAGGAACTTTTGGAGCTAGAAAGTTGAAATTCAGAAAGTATAATCTTAGATGCCAGCGCATCTTATAGTGGTACTACTATCCGGCCACACCCACCCATACGCCCACAAGGCTCTAGAAAAGCTGAAAGAAAGTTCGGATTAAGCATGTAGGTTTTTATGATGCTCCCAATGTGAATTGTTTTTTTCCGATCAAGCCACGCCCACTCGAACGCCCACAAAACCCAAAAAACCAAAAATGCAAAAAATCTATATGAATCTATTGGAACACGTATTTAAGAGATGCCTCTGCGACTTGCCACGAAGTTGCATCCGGCCACGCCCGCTCTAACGCCCACAAACCGCGGAAAACTGTATTATTATGAATGCCTTCATTTGACCTTGTATTACTTATCTCTGTTAATATCTATCGATCTACCAAAGATTTTTCAAATCGGAACATTATTTCGCTATTTATAAAGAAATTAAGGTTATAAGGCCTCACATGGGCAGTGACGTCACTATAAGCATACTCAACATACTTCCTCTGACAATAGGTGGCGCTTTGTGAATTTCCACTAGCAAAATATTTTAAAATTTTGTAAAACACTAACGGGTATCTTATAGTCGCGGCACTCGACTATAGCGTTTCCTCTTGTTTTGTTTGATATTGGTTTGATAGGTTTAATTTACTAAAAAAAAATCTAATCGAAACATTTTTTTGTATCTTTTTACAGAGTAAATTTGATAGCTGGTGCACTCAACAAAACATTTATTTTTATTATGTCCGTTACTGGTAGAAAAAAACAGTTCATATACGAGGTGTGTTCAAAAAGTAAGGTGACTTTTCAAATTTCGCGGGCAACATATTTTCGATTATCGTTTTTTTTGTTTTGTTATATTGGTACACTCTTCCCTAACATCTGTACCAAGTTTCAATGGAACATCCTCTTTTGTTTGGTTGTGAGAGGCGTAAAGGTACAAGTTGTTTTGCGAGCTCGGCGATTTTTTGCTTTTTTCGGTCTTGGCTCGTCTGGGCTCTTCCATTGGGACGATTGGGCTTTGGTTTCGATATCATAACCATATACCCATGATTCGTCACCAGTTATGACCCTTTTGAGTAAATCTGGGTCGTCGTTGACGTCATTCAACAGCTCTTAAGCGATGCTCATGCGACGGTTCTTTTGCTCAAAATTCAGCAATTTCGGAACAAACTTCGCTGACACACGACTCATACCCAAAACGTTTGAAAAAATTTCATGGCACGAGCCAAGCGATATACCGACATCTTCAGCAACTTCTCTGATAGTGATTCGACGATTTTCCAAAACAATTTTCGTCACTGCTTGAACGTTTTCATCAGTTGTTGACGTGCTTGGGCGTCCAGAGCGAGGCTGGTCATTGGCATCTTCCCGGCCATCTTGGAAGAGTTTGTACCACTTGTACACATTTTTTTTACTCAGAACAGTTTCACCGTATGCCACTGTCAACATTTCAAGTGTTTCAGAGCACTTAATTTTATTTTTTACACAAAATTTGATGCAAATCCTTTGATCCATATTTTTCGATAGCAAAAAATCGCCGAGCTCGCAAAACAACTTGTACCTTTACGCCTCTCACAACCAAACAAAAGAGGATGTTCCATTGAAACTTGGTACAGATGTTAGGGAAGAGTGTACCAATATAACAAAACAAAAAAAACGATAATCGAAAATATGTTGCCCGCGAAATTTGAAAAGTCACCTTACTTTTTGAACACACCTCGTATTTTAGAAAATATGTTTAACTGGTAAATGGAAGCGATTCCGACTATAAAAAATAAATCTTTTATTTATAGAATTAATATTAAAACTAAGCATTCATATTCATGATCAGCTAAATTGTGATTCAGCATCCGGCCCACTCTTACGTTGGAAAAAAAGCGTAATACTAAAAACGTTAACAACTCGGGAACTATAAGAGGTACAATGTTGGGATAAGACATCCGTAATGTCGAACTACAAAGGGCTGTGGCATCCATAATAGTACGATTTTACTTGTTGATTGAGCGTATATATATAAATATATATATATATATATATATATATTTGGATCAAAATTTTATTAAATAATTTAGGCTATGGGCTATTGTTTTTTTCTTTTTATTTAGGTATTTAAAATGCTTCTTGCGGTGGTGCTAAAAAAAATTCTACAGTGAATTTCTAAAAGAAAAATGACCATTTTCAAATAAGTTAGCACAGTATAAGGCGACAACATCGCTTCTTTTTGTTTTTTTTTTATTATTTTGCGTTCAAGTGTAAAAAGACAAAAGTCATTAATTTGTTTGAATGCGCAGTGTATACATTGTTGACTGCACAAATTTTATAAAGCAATGACGAAATAATGGGGCAAAGCGTGTATAAAAGGGAAAAATAACCAGCTGAAACAGACGGAGACGCAACTAATGCACTATTACTCACCCTTAACATGTGTTTTTGCTGTACAACCCTAATGACCGACATACCGTAAAACATGGAAGGAGGAATATTAATTTGGCAATAGTGATTGAGTAATATTCAGTTTTGATTGTGTATATATAGATATATATATATATATTTTGATTTATATTAAAGTGTTTTATGGTTTAGCTTACATCCAATTGCGACCAAATGCATGATTCAATTTTGCGGATTATAAGATTTGTAATTTTATATATAATTTGAATTGGGCCTTCCCGGAGTGGTTATGGTCCTTCAACATAGTCACGAACCCCAACATTAATCCGACCCTCTGCGGCTGTGACAGAGAATCCAAGAATACGGGCGTCCATTTTAGTCATCTTATTCTTCTTAACTTTTTTCTGTTTGTTCTTGAGAATAAAAAAATGTATACGCTATGTACAGTACACAAAAGCAACTTACCTTGTGGTCAGTATAATCGTTTGCCGACGGTGTTATAGCGGGAGCCGGCTTGCACATATCATCATTGTGTGCATTTTGTGCACGTTGCAGGCTCTTATATTTGCTGCGTCGCTCCAAAAACTGCTTAGCAAAATCCAAAGATTCTTTCCCTTCACCTGAAAATAGTAAATTTATTTAAAAAAGAAAATGTTAATTAAGCTATATATGTTTAACTAGTAAAGCCAGTAATAGCGCTTAAAAATAATCTTCTCATATGTTTGTATTTATATTAAGAAATTTATAATTTCCTAAAACCCCTATTAAACTAATTTATTAAAACTTATGTGCTGGCAAATATAAGCCAAAACCCCAATTTCTTTTTTCGAAAATCGTTTTTGACCGTCCTAATATTTTCCTTCTGAAGTTTGATTGTTTTCGGCGATTTCATTATCATACATTTTTTTCAGATGGTAAAACGAGATGCTTTTGTAAAAGATACTATAATAACTTATATACTGATAGGCTACTGAAGTATTTGTTGATGAATATTCAAAAGTTGGAAAAAAACCATATCCAAAAAAAAAAAACAAAAACGAGTGCGGCACTGTATACCCGCTATAACAATATACTATAAAATACCCATTACTGTTTTATACAATATTAAAATATTACTTTTGCTAATGAAAATTCACAAAGCGACCCTTTGGTTACCGAGATTTAAACGTTTCTTGTTTTTCGCATCTTGTGTCCGATTATAATTGGACACCCGTTGCTCTGGTAACCAATTTCAAAACGTATTCTAACAGCAAAACGTTGCTCGAAGGGTAAAATGTTAGATTAAACAATATGAAATAAGTAAAATGAAGTGTTTCCGAGCCCATAAAGAATATATATCTTTGTACAGGATGACTTTTTGACTTCCAGATAAAAAAAATGATTTATGGACTATAAGTGATTGTACATTAAACTACATACCAAGATATATTCGCACATAGTCCTTTACCTCATATGGGGCTTCCAAATCCTGCAAGAATGCTACAAACGTGGGTACTAAAAATATATTGAATATGAAAATTTTTGAAAAATAAGTGAAGGTTTACCATTTACCATCAACTTTGGCAGACATATTATCAAGGCTTTTAATACACCAGCTAGTAAATTCGTTTTCGTACTCGTTAACCTTACTAAAAGCCTGATCCATAGCGCCTGGTTGCACCTGGCTCTTAACATTAGACTTTCTCTCCCTATCCTTGTCCTCAATTGAATTTCCTACTTTTAAGCCAACGCGAGCATGACTACATTTCGGTTTGTCTTGCTGTTGTCCCGATCCGTTCTTAATTGCCTTTCCTGGGTTGTGTATAGCTGGCAGAGTTTGACTCTTGCGTAAATTTCGAGGCGATACAAATGGAGCCGGCAACTTATTTTGAGTTTGCAAGGTGGTTTTATTCGCCGAGTTTAGTCCACCTGCCAAAACGGCTGCGGCTGTTACAGTGCTGCTATTGCTTGAGCCAGATCCGTACGTAGTTTGATTAGTACCTGGTCCCTTTGGTTCATCCCATAGACCAGTTCCAGTGCTTGATCTAAAGGGCATTGAAGGAGGAGCGGCCGAACCACTCCATGCCCTATTAGATGAACCCCAAATATTGGAAGTTCCACTCCCCGCGACAACGGCTGATGGAAGTGAAGAATGTTGGTGTTGTTCCAGTTCTCGTCGCCGCTGCTGATCTACAAGGTCAGTGGCCAATCGCTTGGCCTCTTCCGCTTGAATGTCGGCAAGGCTCATGACGGGCGCCAACGGGGGTGCTGCCTGCCATTTCAGTAAAGCATCGTTAGCTTCGGCTGCAGCCGCGGCATTGGCACGTACTTGCTTATCTAGTAGCTCTTGATGTCGTTGCTGGTCTGCGCGGCGTTCCCGGCGTTCTGCCTTTTGTATCTCTGCCAGTCCGGGCGCCGTGCTATTCGTTTTCGGCGACTGCACAGACCAAGGCGCAACTGATGTGCCAGGTAAGCGAATGGATGCTTGCGCTTCAGATGTTTTGACAGCATCGTTTTTATTGTTTTCAGTAGAACCGGAAGTACCTAGGATTAAAGCGAAAAGTTGAATTGAATTTGGAAATCGGCTATTAATTCTGATCAAGGCTTATATAAGTATATATAACTTTATAGGTTAGAAAAAGCTTCCATCTACCTGTTACATGCGTTTAAATTATAATGTTTTCCCCATTACTATACAAGCAAATACTTAAAATTCACTGCTTTGTGTTATTGACGTTCATTATGAGCTTATAATTAAGTATTATATGTAAAATTTAAATTGAGGACAAACCTGTGATCCCACTTTGAACTGATTGACTCTGAGCATTTCCTAATAATGCCTTTCGGCGTTGGGCTTGTATTTGCTGTTGCCTTTCTTTTTCCTCTAGCAATTGACGGGCTCTTTCCTCGGATTCCAATACCGCCCGACGTTTTTCTTCATCCAATTGCTGGCGCTTGCGTTCCTCCCTCTGTCGTTTCTTTTCTTCTGTTTGCTCTCGTTTGCGATCATCTTCATTATTATGCTTTATGATAGACTGTGCCACGTTCTGCTTTAATTTGTTAGTCTGCTTTAACTGTTGCAGCTGTGGATGTTGTTCCTCATCATGGTACTGTTCAACATCGGAAACGAAGGATTTAACCACCTTTTGATTATGAGAATCCTTTGGATGGTCAGATACCTGTTCTTGATCCAATTCTATTGACGGACCGTTATTCAAATTATCTCCTGATCCAACAGGCGATAGTGGTGGTGATTGCACAGGATGTACTGCATCTGCAAAGCAAGTTTCCGGATTCTTTTGAATTAATAGTCCCTGCTCTTCAATTTTCTCTTCATTTAAGTTGCCTACTTCCCACAGAGATACCTTTGCGCTAGTCATTCCCAGCCACTGTTGTTGCTTGTTAGAGGGTAACCACATCGGAATCATTAAATTCTGTCCCTCTAACAATTTTGTTTCAGTTATTAAATCCTCTCCAGAAAGATTTTCGTTAACAGAATTCGGATGGGGTGATTGTAGCTGTTGGGTACATGTTGGTTGACCACGCAATAGCATTCGCAAGTTGTATTCATTTATTAAGTTTATATCATTTCTGGGCAACTCAACCTTATTAATGTCGGCTGCAGATCCACTTTGCATAACGCAATCCACGGATGTTGCTAAAGGAGGTACAACTGGCTGGGCTTGCTGATTCATAATTTGGGCATTCAATATAAAATTATTTGCATCTAGTAGATTACCGACTGACCTTTGCTGCTCGGTGCTGTTTGAGAACATGTTTTGCTGATCCTTCTTGGCGTGTTCAGCGACTGCACTATACAATTGCCGCCCGGCAACAGGATTCAACACAGACAAAGAGTTACTTAATGCGTTTAAACTGCTCAAGTACTCAGGCAGAACAAGTTGTTGAACTTTTTGTCGAACAATCGCCTCTCGTTCGATGGCCGAAAGCCGTCGAAAGCCTTCATTTTTGGACAGCTCTGCCAGTATTTGGTATTCCTGATGCTGTAAGTACTGATCCTGCAGCATCTGAAATCGTATAGTAAGCATGTTTGACGTAGTGCTTATATTATTTCCGCCCGAATTTCCTTTTATTGCTGCGCTTAGAGATTCCGCAGCCGCAGTAACATTAGCCTTAAGTTGCTCATCTCTTTGTTCTTGCAAGTGCTGTTCAACAACAGATAGTGAGATAGCTAATGGTGTTGGCTTATGCGGCGTAACTGGAAGTACCGTTGGAAGAGCAGTTGGAATCTGACCAACAGGAAGATTCTCTAAGTCCATTGGTGAAGGCAGTAAGTGACTGTGCGTAAATGGCATGTTCCCATGGCAAAATTTTATAAGCTCACCAAGCGGTCTAAACCTAGTATCGGGGAATCGACGCACAAACAAGTTCTCATTAAAGTACCCAGCACGATACCATTCGGACATCTCCATGGCACTAAATGGCCCCTGTACATTTGCCTGAGGGTCCCGGTAAAACCACAATTCATTCAGGCTTGGATTTATCATTTGTGGTGCGGGAAGCATTGAAAAATGTGGCTGGTGGTGCAAGGCATGGTGCTGCATGGTTATATGTTCTGAAAACGGCACAACCTGATGTTGACGGGATGGATGAGCTGAATCTGCAAGTGTAGTCGCAATTGGTATTGGCATAGTGAGACGAGCTTGTGAACGCAATGTTGTACCACTTCCCGAATTAGGATTCATGCTCAACTCAATATCTGCTAGACTTGGCAGCACACAAGCAAATCGGCTACTTTCACTTTTAAGTTGACTTTGATCGGCTGAGCTGTTATCATCTTCCATTATTAGTTTTTCTACTTCATTGGCAACTTCTTTGATTCGATCTGAAATATCTCCTTGGATGATTTCAATTTTTGAAGTTGAGTTTATTACAGAAATATTGCTGTCCTTAACTTCATGATTTAGATCTTTCGGTAAAGCGACTTTAGAAGTATTATCGTTACTACTATCTTCATCAACAAGGTGTTCAGTTTCAGGTTTTACCACATCGGGATCAGTGATTATGTTTTTAGAATTCATGGTATTATGCGAACTTTTGTTATTTGGTAAATCGCTTTCACCGTGAAAAGCCCCACTAGCATCAAAACTGCCACCCAATTCGGATGGAGTTTCCATAGCCCATTCTGGGAGATTGTCGTCGACATCAGGACCGCCTGCATTATTTATAGTCCACAATTGTGGGGCCTTTAAGCTTGCCAAACGTACAGAAGAGTTGGATGTACTCCCTACTGCTTCTCCAGCGCCCGTTCCAGACCCTTTGCTGTTTCCAGTTCGCTCGCGATCTGCGCCTAAAGTCACAACCGTTGAAACTGAACGTTGTAAACTATTTGGATTGTCGATGTTAGCATCGTCATCTCTCCAACTTGTAGACCTTCCTAAAAATAAAAAAATTTAATTTCCATTTGATGTTTTTGGTTGTTGGTAAATTAATTTTAGTTTCATTATAAAATAATTGTTTAAAACGTTTTTTAACTTTAATTGGATAAGCTTTTTGGGTCTTTTGTTAAAAACGTTAAATTTTGTTAAAATTAAGATTCTTTGATTGAGCAACCTCAAACTAAATAGGAAAAGATACTGCAAGTACTTCATGGTAAGGATGGACCAACAAGCAGGTACAATACATGAGTGCACTATTGTTACTTTTGAATTTGAACACAATATACCCTTTGAATAGTGTAGGATACTTATAATACAGTAAGACGCATTTCGAATTTCAACGCAAAGTAATCTCTCATTTAAATAATTTCTGGCGTTTGATGTAAGATCATCTCTTTTCAGCAAACTAATCTGTTAAGTAGACATTTTTCTTGCCTTTCTATTTTGTCTCTAAAAATGTTAAAGTAGTGTTGTTTTGGTCAATTAGTGATAAAAATCAAATATTTTCTTCATATTTAATACCAATTGTTTAGGTTTAAAGTCCCCGAAATCCGCAAATGTTAATGGATGTGATTCTGTCTGAATATGAGAATTGGCTGGGCTACAAACACATTGCTGTGTATTATAAAATTGCGTATTGACTGAAGTGAATTCAAAATTATAATAAACAAAAAGGTAATCGAATTTAATTTGGAATTTGATTAAAAAAATTAACCATACATTATGACAACTTGCAACAAATAAAAACAAAAAATCAAGAAGTGTCGCTATAGTAGTGATTTTTAAAATAAAAATGTTAACAACAAATTACTCTGAATATGTTATTATGAGATAAGCAGGCACTTCTTCATTCGGTTTCTGTACTTCTGCATTTGACCCTTGTCAAACTTGCTGAACCAGCCTTATAAACCTTTTGTTTCGTTCTTATGAAAATACTACAAAATAATACTCGTTCCTAATAACTGACCCCAGCGATGACTGTTTGTACCAAAACTAGTACTTCCACCGACGCCACCGCTTCTCCAACCAGCAGTTTCATTTCCACTGATGGAACCGCTGGCAATCAGGCCATCTCCGGATCCATCGTCGTTACGTCCTCTTCGCCAATTTTCCATGTTACGATGGTGACCGGAAAAGTCTTTCCGAGGACTTGAGCTTGGAGTCGCGTTCCAGTCTAGGCCACCAGTGCCACTAGTAGAGGTGTTAGCCACTGCAGAATCTCCAGTTCCGTTGCGGTCACTCCAAGCGCGATCGGCCTGGAAGAATGAGGTTATAAGCTAGCAATAAATCAGACTATCTTTTCAGTCTTTTCGTTACCTTGCTAGATATTACCGATAATCCTTCGTCGTAGAGACTACTAGGACGTTGGTATATTGGATGATAGAGAGATTTGCCGCGCATTCGGCCACGGTCGGATGTCCCTCCACGTCCAGTTCCCCGACAGGAATTACTAAATCCACCTGACGAACGCTGCAACCAGGCAGGACGCGACTAGATGCAAAATATAGAAATTCACCCACTGGATACATGGCAAATTAAATTGACATACGCTATTTCCAGGCGGATTTTGGTTGTTGTCCTCCTCGGAGCTCGGTGTCAGGGCAAGTGGGTACTGGACCTTTTCCACGAAAAGCTTTTTGAACGAAGGCAGAATCTGCGGCAGCATACAGTTCCGATCGAACAATGAAAGCATTTCCTCTCGTCCGTACCTGTATTCTGGAAATAGATTACGCGAAGTGGGCGGTGTCGTGTTGTTGCCCAGGTTGTGTGGTGCAACAGAGGCATTTAGGCCTCCAGAACCGACATTATAGATGCTAGGAGAGCCAGAGGGCTCGGCTGACATATTGCGCAACCATTCCGGACCAAATTTCATCGAATCAGTCATTATCAGTAGTCTCCTGTTCAATGTTACGCTGACACTAAGTTCAAAGAAAATATGTTGACAGTGGGTGAATATAATAAGTACGCTAACTCGAAAAAACGTTTAAGGTGTACACTGGTTTTTAAAACATTGGCGAATTCTAAATATGTATTGTAAATCATTTTGGCAAGTCGATTCAAACTAAACTAAACCCCTATTAAAATAACCACTACTACTAAAAATTGATTATTTATTACCGATAATATAGCAAAGAAAGGACTTGAAAGGAAAATGTAATCGGCAACCTAACCTAACCTAAAAATCAAAACTTAAATCTCATACATAAAAGCGATTTACACAAGACACCCAATTTCAGTATGGTGTACGTACGGAACGGAACATGTTATTGAAATTATTCACTCTCTAATATTTTATAACAGGATATCCTTTTATAAGTATAATATATACAATATATTAATATGTTCAGTTAAAATGTTAGCATACATACATATGCACATATGCACATGTACGTATGTATTGTACGTAGTTGACTTTCAGCTCGTGAATTTGCGCTCACTGCGTGAGTCCATAGAAGAAGTCTCTATGAATATGAAGACCTCTTTCCTATGACTTTAAATAAGCCTAATCCTTTTGTTTTTAACAAAATAATAAGCTCGCACATCGTAAAATGTTGTACTTACACGTACCACCTAGAGTAAAATACCAATACCATTAATGTATTCTAATAGAGACCAGTGCGGCCGTATTTAAAAAAAATCAGCTCATTTTGCTTTTAATTAGGGGTATTCTTGCAAATGTTTTTAGTATTTGTTATGCAACAATTCCACAGACTGCTTTTCTTGGGAAAGTTTGGAACATTTGATATAATTTCTGAATTTTATTTTTCCGTAAAAAATTTGAATTTAATTTGTTTACCTAAAAAAGAATATTTATTTTGGATTGTTAATTAGAACTTTTATCATATTTTGGGATATAACAATAAGAGGATTCGTTGAAATGTATAAAACAAGTAGAATGAAGCGTTTCCGAACCTATGTATGAAAAGTTCTTGATCACGATCAATAGTCGCAAAAAGCGGTGATTTCCATAATATTAGATTTTAGATTGTGTACTAAAAGATTTTAAGTATAAATCTTTTTAGAAATTCAAAAAAGGAGTTTTTAAGGCCCCACATAGCAAGGCCGTTGCCGTCAGTTATTTATTTATTTACTTAAAACGGTTTGCCTGAAGTTTAAACTAAAACAACTGGAACGACTGTTAAGGGGATTTCCATATATTACGTAATTATCTATGAGGGAAGAGGTACGTTGATTATGTTCGATTTGTGGGGCTGGGGGTCGTCGACAATTAAATATTTTATAGGAATTATTAAATTGTATTCTGCATCCCAAAAATCAGTGAATGTGCACGGAAAACTAAAAAAAAACTTATAAAAATGTATCTGGCAAATACAATCCTCTAAGATGATCAGTGTTTGGAAAATGCACAAGAAATATCTTCTTGGTTTCTGACCGTTAAGTTTGTAAAGTTGGTGTGAATACAATGAATGTATGTTAAGATTCATCACCTTATGTGCTTCTGGCAATGATGGCAATAATTATTATTTTTTGAGGGAGGGTTATCACACAGAGAAGATTCTAGGTAAAAAACTATATATTTTTAAGACTAGAAAAAAAACGACGTGATATATTGTTTAACAATTTTACACGTTATTTTTAAAGTAAAAGGATTTAATAAAATTGTTGAAAAGTATGTATGTATAAAAAACATTAAAATTTTTCAAAATTATATACTTATGAATGCCACATATATATAGAACTACATGAGCTAACAAGTTGTGATAAGCACTAGTATTCTCGTCCGAATTCCCTCTGGCACGAAATTATATTTGTGGACGAATCCAAATTTAATATATTTGGGACCCATGAGGCGTCCCAATACACAGAGCTAGATACAAAAACAGAAAAGCAGCGGCTAAGTACGACGGTGGTAATGTTATTAGTTTGGGCCTGTATGACTCCGTCCGGCGTCGGAAATTTGGTTTTTATTGACGGAACCATGGATGCTAATAAATATTTAACTATTTTGAAAGAAAATTTTGTGCAAAGTGCAGAAACTTTGGGAATAAAGGATAGATTCCGATTGCACCAAAGCAATGACCCCAAGCGCACTGCTGGCAATGTAAAGCTTTGGTTAGTCTGGAACTGCGCCCATGTAGTAAAAACACCAATCGCTTGACTTAAAAGTGATTAAAAAGTTGTGGTAAATTATAGACATGTCTATTCCGAAAAGGCAAATTTTCAATAAAAGTGAACTGAAAATTGCCTTATTGAAATAATGGCGTAAAATTCCCGTGGAAACCACAAAAATTAGTCAAAATCCTTGACAAATCGTTTAAAAGTCGTCAAGAAACATAATGGAGGATAAGATCTTCATTAGTGCTAAAAATAAGTTGGCACGCTTCAAATTCGCCAGGGAACTAGAAACTCATCCGATTTCGTTCTGGAACGACGTTATATTTGTAGACGAATCCAAATGTAATATATTTTTGGGTCCCATGGGAGGAACTATGTTTGGCGGCGTCCCAATACAGAGCTAGATAAAAAAAACATAAAAGCAACGGTTAGGCACGGCGGTGGTCATGTTATCTTTTGGGCCTATATGGCTGCGACCGGCATCAGAAATTTGTCGCCTGACTTGATTGAGGAAATTTTATACATGTGTATTCGGAAAAGTCATATTTTCAACAAAAATTAACTGAAAATTGCCTTATTGGAAGAATGCCGTAAAACTCCACTGGAAACCACAAAAAAATATATAAAATATATATATACTGGCACGAAATAAGTTTGGAACCACGATAAATAAATAATTTTAGAATCTACATATATACAAATGCACAGACTTCCCAATAAATTTTTTTATTGAGACGCATTAAATACTATGTATCTTTTATTGCAATAGAAAAAAATTAGGATTCACTTGGACTTATTGTGTATGCGAAGTATCTTTAACAAATGTTTCGACAATTTCCAATTATTTATACAGGTACATATTTACATAAATAGGAATGTGCATGTAGTCACTTTTAAATGTACAGGTGACAATTGATTACGTAAATAAATACATCAGCGGTTGGCTTGCATTATGTACATAAGTACGGATTAATATGTTAAAAAATTAAACATGTTTAGCTAGGATATAGAAAATAGATGTTAGTTTTAAGACATGTTTAAGACATAATAAACTGGTAGATAGGCCATTTTTAAACATGATTAATTTACAAATTTTTTGTTTACATACGTCATAACAAATATTGTGTTTAGAGTTAAATTATATTTATATTGCATATTTAATGTACGATTTATTCTATGAGAATATTATAATCTATATTATAATCCGGAAACATCCTAGAAAGTAAACAAGAATACAGTTGATTTGTAAACTTAAATATTTTTGGTAATATCTAATATTGTTGGTATAGTTCTGCAGATTTGGTAATAACGGCAGCTAATTTTATGTGCCCATTGTTGGCTCCTGGCGTATTTCTGATTTTAGCTTTACAAATTCCTTGGCTACATCATCATTATTACGTTGTGACAATATCCTTAAAATGGTCCAACCCGTCTCGTCCATTTCAATGCGTCTCATCAAGGGTAACCAACATGCGACCGAACCCTAACATGCATAATATAAATTAAATATATTGAGTTTGTAAAAGTATTTCAAACCTTTTCCGATATATCTTTTAATGGAATAACGGCCACACCTACAAGTCTATCATCACGTGCAAAACAATAGTCCTTAACGCAAATGTGCAATTCAAAAAAGTCTAGTTGCTCCTCATTTCCAATGGTACTTGAAAGAAAAGATAAATAAATTAAAATATTTTAGAATTAATATTTTTTATAGGACTTACAAGCTGAAGGATTCGTTGTATTTAGGAGACCAATTGTTTGACTTCGATTTAGTAGCAAACTTTCGTTTTTTTTCTTGCAAGTGTGGTCCAATTAAATTAATGTCAACAAACGGGCGAAACATACCCGAAGGTATTTGCCATTTAAGGTCATTTGCAGCAACAACTAAATATATTTACTTTAATACCTTTTATTGAAAGTTATCCAATATTTTAGCCTATTTTACCTTTCACATTCACTTTATGTTCGCCAGTTCCTGGGTGGGAAAATAGGTCTATTTGTACGGAAATTTCGCCAACACTTTCCTCTGAATTTTCAGCATCAACTGCATTAAGTACACATTAAAAAAACACATTCGCTGTATATCTATTTAATAAGCTAAGAGATATAGTCTATATCGCTCGTAGAAAATAGGATTTTACAAATGAAAAAAAAATGAAGAAGAAACACTAAAGTCGAGTGCCGCGACTATAAGGTACCCGTTACTGTTTTACACAATTTTAAAATACTAATTTTGCTAGTTGAAACTCACAAAGCGCCACATATTGTCAGAGAAAGTGTGTTGAGTAACTGAAAGTGACGTCACTGCCCATAAATAGAAAAAAATTGTTCCTTTTTAAAAAATTTGGAAAAAACTGAAAGATATTGACAAAAATATTTTATACAAAGTCAAACAAAGACATACACTAAAATATTATGGACGCCACAGTTTTCAGCGACTTGAACACCCAAGTGGGCGTGGCCGGATGAAAACTGAATCTGAAATACGTATTTTTAAGCAGAGCTTTCTAGCTCTAATAGTTCCCGAGATTTTAAAGATTTTAGTTTTCTGTAATTTGTGGACGTTATAGTGGGCGTGGCAGGATGCTGTACGCGCTGCGTAGGGACCTCAAAAATCTACCTGCTCAATCCCAACTCTTTATCTCTTATAGTTCCTGAGATCTCAACGTTCATGCGGACAGACGGGCGGACGGACGATCGGACGGACATTGCTTAATCGACTTCGCTATTGATACTGATTAAGAATATATATACTTTATAGGGTCGGAAACGCTTCCTTCTAAGAAACCAAAAAATAATTAATTTAAAATATTAATTTACTAGTATTTTTTACCTGATTTAAGCGCTTTAAATGTGACTTACCTTCATGAATTTGACTAGATATAAACGTTTTGATTAGTGTGTCGGTCATTTGCGTATATAAACTTAGTGCATAACGTAAACTTTGCAGCTCTGATGATTTTTCAAGAAACGTCTTTTTAAGTCCATTTCCACCGGCGTGGAAATATTGTTTAATTGTATCTAAGGCAACGTCAAGCACGGCACACTGTTTGGGCGACAAATTTTTTTCGACTTCCTTTGATATGTCCATTACCCCGCTAAGCGCACTTTTGACATCCTGCTTTCCTGCCATATGTGACTTGAACAATCGACCCATGTCTTCAATTTTTGCATTCGATGCCAAGTTTTTAGCATTGTCAGTAAGGTGCTTGAACATCATCTATTAAAAAAACATACAAAATGTATCACATGAAGATAAAAAATTAGATACGAACAGTTTTATCAGTCATTGGTGGTAGAACAATTGTTTTCTCTAAAATTCGCATTACGATCTTCCATAACTCCTTTAGTAATCTCTTCAGCACGGTTTTTTCACACGATTGGGCATAGAGAGTTAAAGAACCATCGAGCAAATCCATTAAAGGCCTTAAAACTTCATCAGCTTCTACGGCGACCGCGTTCCTTTGAGCCGCTAGATTACCAGCAGCAAGAGTCCCACTGCCGCCCTTAATAGAAAGTAGCATGTCACCTAGCTCTCGTACCGATTGTGTTATTCTCGGCTCCAAACTAAAGATAAAAAAATAATATGCATTTTGGACTTTAGCTTTGTTGTTACAGAAACTCACCTGATAGCAAATTGTGAAGCCAAATCGTCTAACGCTGAGTTAAGGTTCTGTTGAAGTTCTTTTAAAATGTTGGCTGCGTCCTCCTCTAGTTTATCTCCTCCCATGGACTCAAACATTTTTTCCAACTGCACCCTTAGTTGTTGAATATTGTTCATAAGAATGCAAGCCTATTATCGAAGTGGAACAAGAAAATGTATATATGGAAAATAGTGTGCAGACGTTATCATATTTTATAAGTTCACAAATTATATTTTTAAACTCACAATTCTTTCATCTTTCATATGATCTGGAAACTCTATTTTGACAATATCCGCATAGGCTATGAGCACTTTTACAATTGTTTTAGCAAAACGCTTCATGTAACGCTTCCAAATTTCAGGATCAGGACACTCGAGTTTGCTAACAACATCGAAACACTGCGTTAATTGCGTAAAAACGTCGACTACCGAATTCGAAAAAAGTGCGTGCTCGCTGCTCTTTTGAAACTGCAAACACAATGTTAAAATTGATTTAAATTGATTTTTAGAAAAGCTATAAAGACTTCCACAGGTGAGTAGGGAAGCAAATAATTTTGTTAGAGTGAGGAATATATACTTTATAGCCCATCGCCTTAAGCTAATGAATACTGTTTAAACTGTTTAACTACTGGTTAACTGAGACCAAAGTAATTTTTAATAGAGAATTAGTGCCAATTAAAGAAATCTACCGATTCTACAGGCATGGTAAATCACAAACCATTTTGTTTCTTATTTTCTAGCTCATACCCCATCTTTTTTGTCTCGCTTAAATGCGCCGTGAAGGTATTCCAATGAAACATCGTCATTCTCGTTCAGCCACTGCATCACAAAAGGCTCGAACCATGCCGGGTAATCGGGGACTGCACCCTTGTAAGGAGGAACCTCTTTAACGTAGTTACTATATAGCCATTTAACTCGAAAGTGAAGGTTCATATAAGCCGATGACTTGCATAGTCGATGCTGCTCGTGCTCCTCAAGTGCGTACTTCATGTCCACAGCGAAAAGATGCCACATTGATGATGCTGATAACTGATAAACAAAAATTATAGTTCTCACAATTAAGAATAAATATAATAACTAATTACTTGGCCAATATTCAGTTCTTGGGGAAATTGGTTTAATACTGTTCCATAACTATTTTTATCTTCGTCTATAACCGATACTATTAAAGCTATTAACTTGTGCCAGAAGTCGACGCTATCCAGTTTAGGCTCATGATCATCTGGTGCACGTTTTGTTTCGTTGGGATCAACCTGTACGAGTTTTAAAAAACCGAATTACAATAAATTAATAACTTTATTTTTAAATATACTGAAAATTATTCAATTTTCGCAAACGGTATATTATATTGGCCGTAATGTATAAAGTTTTTATAATAATACATCCCAATAACTGTTTCTACCTTGTTATAGTGTTCTTGGTCAACTTAATCCTAGTTTTTAGTGTTAAAGTATATTTACTATACCTGTTTTACACTATACACTATACCTGATTTATATTATATATATTATTTTACATTACATTGCACTATTAGCAGTAAAAACAAGTAGCCCAAGGATACCATTCACGTGCTTGTTGTTACGCATCGTGGCCTTAAATTACGATTATAATTAATTAATTATTAAATAAGCTTCCGTTAATGGCAGGAAGCCGATTAGATACCTACTACGCAGGTGTTCTAAAATTCTATATTTCAAAACAGCGATAATGGCTTAAATACATATTAGATGACATAGGGTGTTGTAATTAGAACAAAAGAGACAAGGAACAAAGGATTATGCAGGCTAATAATATAAATACGTTCTAAGATAAAATTAAATTTTTCCTTATTAAGTTTATGCCTCAAGTAATGGCCTGTAAAATTACTTTTATCATATATTATTTCAAAACTGTTAAATGAAAGTTAGAAAATGTTCATCAATATTTAAAAAAAGTTAAGAATATATTTAAAAAATTGAATAATACATCAAAGTTACAGGGAAAATCGAAAAAATGGTTAGCCATGGTTATTCCAGAGTATAACGGTACAGAGTAAAAGTATATGAGAGAGTAACAAAATTCCAAGTTTATTTCGGAAGAAACGCTGATGTATACGTAATTTTAAGTGTAGGGACCTCAAGAATCTTCACGCTTAATCTCAACTTTTTATATCTTACAGTTCCTGAGACGGACACGGCACAATCGACTTCGCCATTGATCCTGATCAAGAATATATATTTTACATATATATTATATATGTCGAAAATGCTTCCTTTTACCTGATACATGCTTTTTAATGAATCTAGTATACCCTTTTAATCTACGAGTAACGGATATAACATGAAGAAACCAGAGGAAGCTATAGTCGAGTGCCGCGACTATAATATACCCGTTACTGTTTTACACAATTTTAAAATATTTATATTGCTAGTGGAAATTCACAAAGCGCCACCTATTGTCAGAGAAAGCATGTTGAGTAACTGAAACGAAGACATACACTACAATATTTTGGACGCCACTGTTTTCCGAACGGACGGACAGACGGACAGACGGACAGACAGACATGGCTTAATCGACTTCGCTATTGATCCTGGTCAAGAATATATATACTTTATAGGGTCGGAAACACTTCCTTCTACTTGTTACATACTACGAACGAATCTAATATACCCTTTTACTCTACGGGTATAAAAACATATATAGTTGTTAATGGTTTTAGTGGTTTAATTATTAAAATAATTCTTAAGCTATATGGGCTATGTAATACATTAGCCCACAAAAACTTTTTTTTTGCCCTTTTAAGCAACGAAAAGCAAATTTTAGTTATTTTTGTGATCTTATATAAACGAAAGAGTTATAACCCAAACAATGCAATATGTGGAGATTTTCACCTGAAATTCTCTGTTGTAAAGTTCATAACAGTTCTCAAACAAAAACTGATAAGTGGATCTAAGACATGCTTTAACACAGTCCTTGACCACCGTACTCGCTCTTGGCGGACTTGATAGCTCTTGTACCTAAGAGGATATACACAAAAAATTAATTGAAAATACATATGAAAGTTAAATACTTACTTTCATACGGAAAAATGTTATGCTGGTCAATAAATCAACTGTCGACTTTAGATCCATCAACTTTTCTGGGCTCGATGCAGGAAAATTGTTTCTGTACATTGACAAATCTATTCTAAGAGAGTTGTGCAACTGGTCCAGCAATTTTACAAATTTTTCTTTCTACAAAAAGTAAGGTAAAATTTAAAAATATTATATATATACTTCCCATAGTGTTTTATTATTACCCCAAAATTGCTGGCTGCAAATCGATCACTAGCCGACACAGCTGAAGAAGCGGTGGTGTGGGCGTAATATGCATTTATGTTTGCCAACAGGGTACTCATAACAGCTGGTACTCCGGGACAAAGGTATTTGGCAGATAGGCAATGGAAATGCGTCATAGCTTGATAAATATTTTCGATCCCATACCGCATAGAAAACTCATCCACAATCTCCTCAGGAATTTCATCAAAATATAATTTCCAAGCATCATCACCTTTTTGAGTTGGCAACTTAACCTTTAAAGTTATTTTTAAAAATTCGCTTACTCACTGTATATAAAAAATTAATATATAACCAATATCAAATGCTTACCATTCCGCTATTTTCTTCACAAAGATAATGAAATAGATTCTCGTGCAAGCAAGTATACTGCACATGATAAGGAGCTACCTTCTCTTCGCCCTTTATTTCAACAGATATATGAAGCCGAATCGCACCTGATACGGCAGATTTATCTGTACGTTTCTCCAAGTTGTACCATACATCCATTTCACCAGAAAGCGTACGAACCTCGATAATTGTCTGTCCCAAAAAGTCGTCAGACTCACGTGTCAGTTTTTGACGAAGTTTAGACTTAAGATCGTTGTCTTCGTCCCAAACTCGAACTTTTATACGGTCTGAAGAGTTGTGGCACTCGCTATATCAAGCCAATAAACAAAAATCAATTTATCAGACAATTTAAAGAAATCAAGAAAATATTGACTTATTTAAATGTTACTCCTCTGAATATCAACACAGCGAAGTTGACAAATGCTCATGTACGGAAAAAGCATGAGAGTGTCGTGTGTTCTTTACAAGCTATACCAGCATTTCGACTTTAGGAATAAATAAATTAACTTCTTCTTAGTTTATTAATAAAAAGACGAGCAATTTTTAGACACACTATATGATGCATTAAAGTGATTGAAATCCGCACACTTTTTCCCCATGCATGAACACAGTGCTAGCTTGCAAGTTGGCTCCTAAATAGATATAAAGTTGACCACAAACATAGTAGAAGGAATTAAAGTCGAGTGATGCAAATATACGAAACATATTACCAAGTTCATCATTTGAAAAAAAATGGGCTATACCATAAACCGTCATCTATAATTTAATAGAACCATTTTTTGGTAAACTGTATGTCCATTAAGGGCTTTATTTTGCTCTTTTATTTATCCGAAAACATGTAACGCTATAGCTGAGTGCCGCGACTATCAGATACCCGTTACTCTGTTAACCAATTTCAAAATAAAAAATAATTTGATATATCCGTAGTTTTCTAAAATAGCAGATGATTGATTGGATAGCCAACAAATATGATTAAATTAATAAATGTATTCATTGTCTTTTTAACTAAAACGTTGCAAAAAAAGGTTATTAAGAAAAGAACACTAGAGCTAGTCTTGGAGATAACGTTAAAAAACTTTGCTCCACAGTTGTGAATAAAAATGATTATTTAAATTAGCAGAATTAAAACATAGTTATCCAAATGGTGGGAAATTTTTTGGCAAAGCGACGATTTTGTGAATTCTTTAGATTTGTATATTGATCAAAGGTTTATGAAGCCCTATCATTTCCAAGATCATATTTTTAAGTCAGATATTTATTCAAAAGGTTATTAGGAAAGCACGGTAAACAGCAGAGCCTGAATAACACATTTGATGATTTAAACATTGTAATTTTCGTCAGAGACCATTAACGAGCATTCTTAAAACTATGTCACTAAAGCATATTTATATACCTATTTATTTACATTTATTATACCCATTGATGCTGCATATTGTATTCGACGAAAAGTTTTTACAGGAGAAAATATATATATAATGTATATTTATTCTTTATCAGGCCTAATAGCCGGGGCAATTCAGACGGAAACTCGGTTTTATAAATAACTGGCATCTAACAGTCGCGCCAATCGACTATGTAATACCTTATTGTTTTAAAAAATCAGAGCCTACTATTTTCTTTAAAAATGTGGACTTTTGTGAGTCGGCGACCTTGAAAAGTTGCAATACGGAACCCTATTAGTTGATCGGAGTGTAATTTTATTATAATCATTTCATTTTTTTAAACAAAAGTTTTGTGTTACTTGATTTACAAAAAGATATTCTTCAAAAATATTCACCATTTCAGACTTTAATAAACTAACAGAAAGACGAGAGTATACATAAGTGAGGGAGTGCGTCTTAAGCTTATTTAATGCATAAGCCCAAACACAGTTCATACTGATATGTGTGGACATAAATTATAGGATTTAATTTAAGGCACAAGTACTCACAAGTGAAACTTCTCGTTCCACACAGGGTTAAGTTCCTGCGGCATTGTTCGCGTTCGTTTTTTCACCTTGCTAACCTGCACCGTCACATATGGATCACTGGTACCGCTTTTATCCTTCGCTATCAGGCCTTGAGCACAAATCACTGCATCAAATCAGGTCAAATATAGTGGGTTCATCAAATTGTTCGTTTCCAACACCATAATCCGGGATTCACAAATTTTAAATGTAATTTATAATTTTGGATTAATTGCAAAATAAAGTGCAATTTATAGATTTTGTAATTTTGTATTTTAATTTTAAATCGATTTTGTGGGGTTTGAAACGAAAAATAATTGCAGATTTATATTATGTGCATTTAAATAATTTATTAATTTTGTAAAGTTTTTAATTTTTTTTTTCAGTTTTATGAATTGATTTTCAAGGGAGAAAGAAGAAGAGAAAAAACGGGGTGTTTTTAATAATGATCTTCAACATCAGTTCAGCAGAAACAGTGCAGTGCTGCTGACTTGATCACACTGTCCCATATACATATATGTATGTACATACAATAAATATATCAATATAAGTATATACATTTATGTACATGTGATTACTAGTCAGAATGATGCAAGTGACAAAGGTATAATTTGTGAATGTTTGCCCAACAACAAAAAATGTATTTCTGTACAATTAAATAACTTATCAAATTATCAACGTGAGGAGCAGAAAAATTATTGTAATTCGAATTTTCAGTTGACATAATTAAAACACACATAAGGTTAAGGACACCAGGTACAAAAACTTGCATTGAAAGAGTACAAAAATATGTATGCTTTTAAAAATAAAGACATTCATTATTTTATTCCCTGCCCATATGATAAACGTTTACACACATGTAACTTGAAAAAATAATTCATTTTAAAGGGGTATTTTATTTTAAATAATGCGGTAACAATATGTTTCCGGCTAGAAAACATGTTTAGATCCGACAATATTTTGATTTAATTTATAAAAACAATATGGATCAATTTACTTTATTTCGAAATCTAACCATTGCATATCGCTAAAAAAGTTTATTTCTCTTGTATCATCAATTGTTACTATTTTGCCATTGAGATCTCTTTTTATTTTGAACCCATGTAAAATGTTCACCAACTCTTTTTCAAAATACTTTAGAAACATACAATTAAATATTTAATAAAGTGTTTGTTGGAAAAACATAAATGAAACATATAAATACTATCCCTATTTCATATACCACGTGCAAACAAAATTAAATACATTTTAGGTGCAATCGCTAATGTATTTAAACAAATTTTAAATATGCACAATAAAATACAATATGAACAATCGATCTAAACTATAACAATTGTTTGACAATAAGATGATGAAGACAAAATTGTGTCAATAGAGAAAAATAAATCAGTAGTTTAAATAATTTTAGTATAAATTTGTTTTTGTATTCGATTAAAAACCGTTTAACTTTAAAAATACCAAAGCTAAGATCATTATTATTCTTACTATATATAAACAAATAAGAATATGTGGTACATGCCATAGATAACACTATGGTTATGTGTTGCAATAAGAAACGTCATCTATAGGGTGTTTTAGAGGTGTAGAACTTCAAGTTGGCATTACAGTTCAAGATTTCGACCGATTTAATAGCTGTCAACTGATTTATTCTCTGTTTGGTTAGTAATTCTTCATTAATAGACTAATAGAGTAAATAGAGTAATTTTATTTCGAAAATAATGGTTCTGTGCAGAATACGTATCGCGCAATACGTTCATTTTATAATCGACAAAATCGTCCATCAGCACAGTTAATTCGATTAATCATGGAACATCATTTAACACCGCTAGATTACTTTCTTTCTCTGCTATGTAAAGTCATTGGTGTTTTCGGATAAGCCACAAATGCTTGACCATTTGGAAGACAACATTCGCCGTGTTATTGCCGATATAGGGCCACAAATGTTGGGAAAAGTCATCAAAAATTGAACGTCCAGATTGGACTACATCCGAGCCAGCCGTGGCGGTCAAACGCCAGAAATCACATTTAAATTGTAATGCCACAAGATTATCTTTCGAATAAAAAAATTCATGTCAATCCATTGTTGTTTTGTTGAAATTTAAAGTCCTATACCTCTAAAAAACACAAAATGTTCGTACATACTTTAATAAACTTTGTTTCCTGGTAAATATGTACATTTTTCCAGAATCATTTAAACTTTTTTTTTTGATAGAAACTAAAACGAACAAATAACTAAAATAACTAATAATAACTAACTCTCCCAACACGCGATTTAAGTATATTTGTTGCCTAACTAAAGAAGTTTTTTTACAGTTTAGGTTAATTTCGGAATTTGGGTCCAGTTTTATGCAGAAAATGCAATGTTTATTCGACTTTCACGACTTTATTTAATATAGAAAGAGCCTGAATTTATTATTATTGGAAAGTATTTCACTACAGATGTAATTAATCAGCAAAAGACTAGAAGTTTTTTACACTGAACATTAATAGCATAAATAATGTTTAAAAATGTCTGCCAAGGCAACATTAAATATTATCTATTATATGTATATATATTAAAATTCTATATTTGATTATCCGGCTTCTAAAATGTTTATAGATTCAATCGATATTGCTCCATAATTTTCTTGTATATTTTTATAGCTGTCTAAGATCAAATATAACGCAAACTACCCAAAGAATCGTGTTTTTGATGAACACTTCGGGGTTCATGTAGATACGAGGGACTCAGAAGTTTGGTATCGATGTTATACTGTGAGATTGACCAGTGCCACAGTGTGAAGGGCTATATAAATTAAATTATTTGCATTACTTCGTTACTAGTGTATCATAGAATTTGTATTTAACTCCGACAAATTCAGAAGTGAAAATCAAATATTTTCTTTGTTACTATTTTTTTAGCTTCTCTTTTTTGGTTAGTGTGTTTAATCTGTAGGCTTTATTAATTTATTCTTAAACTATAAATGTAATATTTTTTAATGTTGTATAGCTTTTAGGCTTAGCAAGGCTTTCCATTGAAACGGATATTTAAATCTATAAATCTTAACGCGCTCACTACATAATTCAAATTAATTAATCAATAAAATGAAACAATCAAAAACAATTAAAAATGCATAGGTAAAAATAAAAAGAAAAACAGAATTGGAAAACAATTTGAGAAAATAATTTTTTTATAAAATATAGCGGCAATTTAATTTATAAAATTATTTTTAATAGTAAAATTTTAAATGAAGGATGCATACAATAAAATTAAAAATTGTAAAAAAGAATTGATTTGATGCCAAATGGCTTTGTTTGTGTACCTGTAATTGTTAACTTGCATGACCACTTAGATGTTCCCTCAACAGTTGCGTGCTCAGCCTGCTCTAATGAATCTATGTGTGTATCGGGATCCACACCGAATGTCATCCTTAAATTAAAACGATTTCATATATTTATAATTTTGATTTACTAAGGATTATCCATTAATGCTTCTGAAATATCAAAACACTAAAAGTATGTTATCGAATCGGATAGGTGGGTCCTTTACATCTAATACCCTTAGACGTGTGTTTTATCGACCTTTACATATTCAAGGAACCCTATGATATTGTATCAAAATTTCTATAAAAAATTTGTAAATAGCTAGTAATATCACTGGTAAAAAATTTATCTGACATTTTTGGGTGATGCCCACACAAGACATATATGCCTAATATTGGCACTACCCAGTATTAAACTTACGATTTTTTATTTTGTCAAATGAGCGTAAAACATATTTAATAAAAAAACTTGCAAATACACTCCCAGAATATTTTATATGTGGATTTCACAATTATACATGTATGTAATGCGTACATGCATATCACACATTCATCAAATACAAAAATAAAATACATTTACATATAATCACACATTCATTATGGCAAATCAATATTTTTTCGAAAGACCAATATAATAATAATTACAGCGTGTCATTCAAATGCGAATTGCAAATACATTCACATACATCAAACTCAAATTAAACCGACAACCGAAAAGTACGACGATTAAAAGTTAGTTTTGTATAATCTCAAACCTGTAATTGCTATTTTGGCCGACCATTTGCTTGTGCCATCCAGGACGCTTTGTTTCATAGCCTTCATATGACCGGTGTGACTCTTCTCCTCAACGCTGAATACGGCTCTAATGGATGAATGCCATGTCAAAGTTTACTGTCTTTTGTTTTCTAATAGTTCTGGCCACTTATAAAACTAATAATCTTATTTTTAAGCACCCCCGTTTAAAGATTACATTATTGCATATAGATTTATCGCTGCGTTTATACGCAGTAGTCAAATCGATATATTGATATAATATTACCTAATCAACTCGAATATCTCGGGCTTCTCCCGCTCACGTTGCTTCATGCGTTCTTTCATTGCTGTAATGATCGAATTAGCCTTGTCCTCCGCGCCATGCTTTGAGCTTTTCTCGGCAGCTCCTATATTTTAAGTTCGAAAATCTTGAGAGAATTCTCTGAATAAATTTAAAATACTTACGCTGAAGGCAATCAGCATTCAATAGATCCTTACACTTTTCATGACATTTTACACCACACTCTGTGCATCGAACTCCTTGTCGTGCTATTCCCCACAGAAGACCCTCACACTCGTAGCAGTACGTTGGTGACGTTGCCGTCCATAATAAAAAGTTGTGTGGAGTAGTCGAAGAGATAGGGTAAATCAGAGCCTGTAGAGCTTTTTTGTATACGTGCATTTTCTATGGATTACAAACAAGTACCCATTATGCTTACATTTTCATTTCTAATATTTCGAATTATACACTTTTATATTAGGATTTATTAATTATTTATAATTATTAAAGCTAAGGATGGTTCTTACCAGTTCTTCGTCATTAAGTGTTGCGCGTGGAACAGCAGATGTTAACCCTGCATTTCGTTTTGTAGCTGCCATTGTCTGAAGGGACGTAAAAAATATTCGAACAAATTATGTATTCGGTATGTGTACAAATTCAGCTATGATAAAATGGATGTTATAATATACTAAGCAAATAAATCTTATTTATACCATTTGCAGATCCTTACGTTAAATAGAATATGTTTTTTAAGCATCAAAAAAATTATAAGAAGCATAGCAGGCATTATGCAAATACAAATAAATGTCGTTGGAAAACTATGCAAATTTTAGATAAATGCAATCAAAAGTGCTTATAAATGTATGCCCAGTTCAAAATGGTTTTTATTCTTAATTATTATTAATGGCAATTTTTATATTTAAAATCTCAGCTAGCCGAATATCTGGACATTTTTTTTTATCGTTTATGCTCTTTTATCTTTCTATGCCTTTTACTAGATATGCGTTATAAGCGTAAACGACTTTTATCTACCAACCGTAGTCTGGAAATTATCATGCAAACTTAATAGATTACACTGTTCCTTTTTTGTGGGTATACTCGTATACTGTAGCTGCGCCTGATAGCCATTGATTAAAAGAATCAAAAATTGTCCATTACTCACGGCGACTTTCTAAATATTATATACTTATTGAAAAAGCATTTTAGGTCGATTTTAATAATTAAATACAACGATTTTTGACAATTACGTAGATATATTGTAGATACTTATACCAAAATGTGTCTCTAATTGAATTTAAATTATTTCATTTTAACAAAGTACTCTAAAATCCCTTTTTATCTAGCTTAGGCACAACAAAAATATAAACAATCTTTACGTCAATATGGACGGAAAAAATATTGTTTTTGAGTCAATGCAAAAGATTAATGGGTATCTTATATTCGCGGTACTTGAATATAGCAGTCATTGTTTTAAAGTATAATTTATAGTTTGACTCTTAACTGTAAACAATTTTTTGAAATTTTGTTGAGCTTTGGCATTTACATGTAGGAACTTACAAAACATGCATTGGAGAGTTAAGGAACGTTATCTTATAAAAATTAGTACATGTTGTCGAAATCAGTTTATCAGAAATGAATGGAAAACAGGGGAAAACGAAAACTACACTTTAAAACAAGAAGAAGACTTTAGCTACTATCAGATAACCGTTACTCTGTTACACTGGCCGAAACTACCGCCATTTGTTGTTAGAGCTATGTTTACTTTACAATTTTTTCTTTATCGTTTTATCAATATTTTTTTAAGCCTCGCATGGGCAGATTTGACCCCGTCTGTTATAAAACATACTTTAAATTGTTTCTCAATTTCTGATATCACCAGTAAATGAAATGGAATAGCAGATAACGAAGATAATATTGTTTCTTCTTGTTTTTTTTACAATATATTAAGGTATTGAATTATTGCTTTTCATTGACAATAAGATTAATTTTAAAAAATTAAACTGATTTTTAATATTGCCCTACTAATGTTGGCTTATAAGGATTTGTGTCGTTATACTGTGTTTTATGGAATCTAAAGTGCACAACTAAATTAAAAACAAAAATAACAATTAAGTTTTTACTTGGCACGAATCTGTGAGTTTAAAATGTAAATATAAATTACTTTTCAGTTTAATACAACTAATTAAAATTTTATAATAAAGATTTTGTTTTGAAAGTCTATATATATATGTCTATAGTCTATACCTTGAGAACCTGCCGCCCATCATCGACGAAAGAAAACGACAGTTTATGTAAAAGTAGGCAAAGGGTCATAGATTATAGGGTTAATAACATATCTTTCAACATCAATGACCGATGAACTGTGACAAATCAGTGGCGGGTCCACAGGGATATTTGAGTTTTGGGGTTCCATACCCAGGTAAACAATTATAGTAATGTAAGTCTGAAAGTCCCAAACAACCAGTTACTGGATCCGCCACTGTCACGTATATGGTATATTTTTTTATGTTTTAAATGTATTAGTGAATGTTCTGTGTTTCTATGCATATTTAAAGAAAAAATAATTAACAAATTTATTAATTACTAACCAGCTCCGACACAAGGGGAATAGATTTTCTACGAGGACGTATATCCGGCATACTGTCAATATTGCTATAAAAGGGATTATCGCCAGGATGTCCATTGTTGCGTATTCCGACTTCTCCATTGCCACCACCATTCTGTAAAAGAATAATCAGAAGAGTTTGTTATTTAATATCAAAGGTTGATTAATTTGTACCTATTTGTTTGGTAAGCTTGTGTATCCGAAACCAAGAGTTTAGTTAAAAGTTTAAAGGTAGCCCTAAGGCTCGAGTTAAAATAGCTCATTAATATGAGTAATCTAGTGTTGCTAACCTTCTTAAAAAAACGTACAAAAAAACTTTTTACAAACGAATATGGATATATTAAGATTGTTTATTAGTGATTTTAGGTTTATAAATAAATAAACTCTTCTTTAAATGACAGCTTTCTTTCTTCTCAAATATGCTTATTTCTACAGACAGCAACGGTGTAATTTCCTATTGAAATTCGGCTCATTTCAATGCCAGCTCTATGATTATACACAAACAAGTAATTATTAAAAAACAAAAAATCTACTTTCCGGGGTAGATAGTGTATAACGACAAGCCACAATTCTTAATTTAATTTTGATAATTTCGCGATAGTTCTTAGGGAAACTTTTTGATACAGTGGACAGACTTTTTCTGATTTAAAATGATTTTTTAACTTTATATATGCCTTAAGAATATTGCACAAATACTTTGTTGTTTTACACAGTCATCGTTTGCTGCACAAGAAGACGACAGACGATTAGATAAAAAAACAAAACAAAAAAATTGTTTTAAAATAATTAAATGACTTATTTTAGTAGAAAAATGTAGATTAAATTAAAAGTAAGTATTCTTATCCGCCAAATATTGATCTACGCAGGCTGCTCTGTATGTCCGTGTAAATGGGATTAAGTTATATTTTACGCTTACAATAGCCTACATTGAAACCAATAGTAGCATCAGAAGTTTTATGGTAATCATAGCAAATGATCAGCACAGGATTAATAAAATGGCACGACATAAAAATGGAAGAAACGCAATAGTCGAGTCCCGCGACTATTAAATACCCGTTATCGTTTTACACGATTGTAAAATATTCATTTTGCTAGTTGAAATGAACAAAGCACCACCTTTTTTCAAAAAAGCATGTTTACTAACTGATGATGACGTCACTGTCAATGAGGGAAATATTAAATCGATTTAAAAAATCTTTGATAAATCGATAGATAAAAATATTTTGTACAAGGTCAAACGAAGACATACATTATAATATTATGGATGCGACAGTTTTTCGCGGTTTGTGGGTGTTAGAGTGGGCGTGGCCGGATGAAAACTAACTCCAAACTGTAGTGGCATCTCTAAAATAAGTATTCCTAAGACTAACTTTCTAACTCTAATAGCACCCGAGAGTTTCGCAATTTTAAGTTTTTTTTTTTTGGGCGTTAGAGTGGGCATGGCCAGATGGTGTGAAAATAATACGCATTTGGGAGTCTTTATAAACTACCTCCTTAATTTAATTTCTATCACTTATAGTTACCGAGATATCAGCCTTTCTACAAAAAGCGAAAATTGTTTTTCGAGCTTGGTGGGCCTAAGAAAGGGCGGGCCGGTACCACCATAAAATGCGCAGTCATCTGAAAATTATACTTACTTAATCCCAACTTTGTATCTCTAATACTTCCTGAAATTTCAGCGGTTTCAGTTTTTCGTAATTTTGAGCGTTAAAGTGGGCATGGCAATATGCTGAACATGCTGTAATAAACAACTCTGCATATCTTATAGATCCTGAGATACCAGCGTTCATACGGACAGACCGACGGACGGACAGATGGACATGGCTTCGCTATTGATTCTGATCAAGAATATATATACTTTATAGGGTAGGAAACGCTTCCTTCTACCTGTTGCATACTTTTTAACGAATCTAATATATCCTTTTACTCTACGAATAACGGGTATAATAAGTAGCCCAATCTTTTAAAATATTTATTAAAGTTCGTCACATTTTTAAATTTACAAATATTACCTTTTCCTTGTCCTTTGTTATTTCATCTTCCTTCATTTTTTCTTGATTATTTTTCTCCTCGATCTTTCGCTCCTTTAAAGTTTTCAATAATTTCCATTTGCTACTACCAAGACCTGCGGCAGATCCGTTACTGCCTACCGCCTGAGATCCATCACCATCTGATTTAGGACTAATTACATTTTTTGTCTCAAAAGGGGATTGGACTGATCCGTTTGATATACTTTCTAATACATGAGTACTACTCTGATCCTCATTGGTGTGATCTTTATCAAATTCAAGTATTGAATTTTGAATTTCGGATAGATTGCCATGCAAATATAGATTATGTAAATCAACTTCGGCCTTTGAACTACATTCAGTTTCGTTTATCTCAACATCGCTCATCTCGTTAGGCGTATCTGGCCCGGATGTCTCACTAGATGCAGAAGATTTCATTTCTGCGCTTAATTTTGGAGAACATTCAACACATTCATTTTCAGAATGGCTAGAAGAACTTGAACTGGCTTCGTCGTTAGATGAAATTACATTTCTATCGAATGTTTTCTTTTCTAATCGTCGCGATTTTTGTTGTTTATTATTTAAATTCGGAATTTTTTCGCTTGTTTTTAAATCAACATTTAAATCTTGCCAAGCTTTATGCATGTCACAGACTGTCGTAAATTTTTCACCTGTCGGTTTTTTAAAAGCATTCGCATCAACAATATCTTCAAAAGCTGTGTGTATCTCACTGTAAGGACATACCTCTGGATGTAACTTAACTACACTTTTCAGTTCGCCAAATACTTCTGACATCCTTAACTTTACACTTTCACTCGGAGAATAATTCATATTATCTTCAACATCATTACAGACATCAAAAGACCGAAAAGTGTCGTTTTGGAGAAGTAGTCCTATCTGTGAAAACAATACCTCATTATCTTCCAGTCTTTCGGAAGATGTAATTCCAGAACTTTCTGTTCGTTGCTGTTCCTGTTCCTCTAGCTGACGAAGCTCATAATAAAAGTATTCGTCATCTGTGTCGATGCTATCCTCAGTGCTTTGTCGACGTGATGAAGAGAGCGTCCGAGAAGAGTGCTGACTTCGGTTATCGTCATCATCCCGCGACCCATACTCATATTTGTTTGGGAGGTCCAAACACTGCTGCGTGACCAACAAACCACCGCTGCTACTAAGACTACGACAGGCAATAGTTGTGGTAGCTGTTGTTGTTGTTGTTAGAAATGTAGTTATTGCTATGTCTCCAACTTCTCCAATGGTTTTAAATATATTGAGTGTGGGGACGTTTACATCAATGTTGACTGAGTTTCTAAGTATACTCTCATCGCCGATGTCATCCGTGTAGACTGAGTTGAGATTTTGAAGGCACGACTGTGATGTCGTTTCCAAGAATATCTCTGGCATTTTTATAGTCCCATTTTTAATATTGACAATTTCTTTATTATTTGCAGGCTCTGAAATATGTATTGCTGTTGAGCCAGCCACTGATATGGGGCTTTGAGTTTTTTTAAGATCCCCGACAACAGGGAATAAATTATTTAATTCATTGCCACTTAACACCTTTTTAATACCATAGTCGTTTTGGTCATTTAAATTTTTATCAACACCATCCTCGTAGTTATTTATCACAATTTTACCTTTAAATGTAGAGCTTTTACCGTTATCCGATGATGTAAAGTCTGGCGTGTCTAATTCAGTATTCGGCAAGTTACAGCCGCGGCGCAGGACAAAGTTATGCCGTTTGTAAGTCTTCGCCTTTTGCATTAGATTATTCATCTTAGATGAAAGATAATTTGTATATACACCTGTATCACTTGAGCAAGGTTCATGATCAGCAGGATCTAATAAATCAGTGGTGTTAGGGTGAGACAGTCGTCGCACAATTCGCATCGGCAGCTTTTGTACTCTTTTCGATAAATTAATCTGCCTTTCGCTTGCATTGGGTGGCTTGCGAGAAATAGACGGACACGAACCTGCCTGGCCGCGACCCTGACTTTGATTACCTTGACTTTGCACATCACCGGGTAATGACTGTGATCGATTAAACTTCGACATACGCTTAAGCTTTAAATTATCAGTTAAGATATTATTTAGCTTTTTCCATACCTTTGGCGACTTAGCATATGAGTGGTGGTGTTTTTTAATATGGATACGGTGATTCAAACCGAGCTCCTGTTGACTTGTTTTTTTTTCGCTAACACAAAGATGGGCTTCAGAATTCGTATTGGCAGTAAAATCAAGGTGGACAGGTGGGACTTCTAGATTTGGTAAATATTGGGAGTCCGTTATATCCGTAATTTGGTTCTGTTCACCTACATAATCTAAATTTGTGATGCTGTTGTAATCGGCTATAGAGTTATAAGACGGATAGAATACGAGTCTATCTGTCAAATTAGGTTTGTTCGGAGTTGTTTTGCAATCCTTATTTAATTCTGTGTGACTTGATCTTGAGAAGTTTTTATCTTCTAGGCTTTCGACATTTCCACCGTTTGCATTTTGGTATTTTTTTCTAAAGGAAGGCGGATTGATTGTTGCTGATTTTCGTATTTGAGCAGATAAAAGGTCTGGCATAATGGTGGTATTTAATTGCTCCATTGAAACATTATTCTTATCCTTTTCGTTGACGTGGTCCCAGTGCAGAATTTCATCAACAGTCGGAAATGTTTCAACTGAGTCGGAATTTGTATCAAAGATAGACTTATTTTCATAAGCAGAGCAAATAGGTAAGTTTTTAGAAAGCTCTTGAATATAGTTTAAGTTTTCTTCAGTAATTACATAGTCGTTGTCTTTACTAGTATTCATTTTATCATAAGTGGCCGGTAAACTTCTAAAATCTGAACTAGCTACAGGCAAGGGAGGATATGCTTGTATTCTTTTTTTCCCTCTTTTCTCTATGATATTATTAAAATTGCTGTGTTGCATTCCAACTGCAATTGGGGAATTGGGTTCCCAACAGTTCATTGACGATAGCCTTGACTCTGATTTTGCATTTTTATGAGAGTCTATTTCACCACAAAATTGATTTACGGTTTCGTTAAAGCTAAAATTATCGTTGGGAGCTGGTGGTGGGGGACTGAGACTTGCTCTGTTCAAGTCCATCTGCGTGAAATTAATATCAGACGAGACTTTGTTCTTCTCAGGATTTTGTAGGTGGAGTAGAAAAATCATGCTGTTGTGGCGTTCCAGACTCTTTTTTAATGATTTTATGTACTCATCCTCGTTGTAAATATTTGTTGTGGATCTTCTAAAATCCTCTTTTGAGTTGGTATAACTGTAGTTGCTTTCATTTTCAATATAGGGATTGAATGTTTTGTGCGCATTCTCATTAAGTTCACTTACAATTTCGTCAATCTTTTTTTTCCGGTTTATTTCAATTTCTTGCGTTTCGAGAATCTTAAGCTGTTCATCCAGATCGGAATTATTTCTTAATAAATGCGCACTAAGACTACAAACATTAGACTTAAAGGATGAATCAAGACTTTTGGGTGAAAATCTGCTGGCACACGTTTTGACTATTTTAAAATCGTTCAATGAGCTACCAACTAATTTTTTTAGTGTATCAATATTTCTTTTAAATTTTTTCATTACCAGAACAAACATTTCATTTGTATTCGTAATGTGAAGTCTTTGCAATTCTTCTGTAACAGTTATGGGGTTAAGTAAGAGCAGAGTCAATTTTTTATCGACTTGGCTAAGTTTTTGAAAAAACTTTTCCTCTGCCCACACTGTTTTGCGTAACTGACTAATATGCGAAGCACTCAGAGACTGTAGGCCTGGAATTTTGTTTATTTCCTGTAATAAAGTCTCTGTCATGCTATCTAAAATGATCCGGATGTCATCATTAAAGTTAGTGATTCTACTTATTGAACGTTGATTTTTTAACCCATTATGTATATTTTCGCTTCCAACTTCTTCTTGTTCAGTACCCGTGCCCGTAACTATATCTACAAGGTCTGTATCCAATTCTTTTGTATCGCCGTTAATAATATGAGATGAGTGTGCTTGTGTAAGTATACACTTCAGCTTATTTATCATGTCCATTTCGTTTTTATGGTGTTTTTTTTTTCGATACCTTCTTGACTCCTTGTTTTTTGACTGTTTTGTGAGACTGGTCTCTGCAGTTTCAAAAGATTGCCCATCTGTAATGTCCCTCTCATCTGGAGTCCTTAAGACTGAGGAGGATGCTGAGTGGCCACGTATAGTTGGAATTGATTGTTCTTCGTGAGCAACCTCAGACTGATAAAGCAGTGCATCTACTTTAAATATTTCATTGCTTAAGTCGTTATCACGATATGCCTCGTTCAGTTTTTTGTAAAAGGATTCGTTAATTTCGTTTACATTAGCTGAAATTTCCGTTCCTCCAGTATCTTCAATGGGAAGTACTTGTATTCCGCCCTCGCTGGTTTTAGAGGCTGTTAAACGAAAAAACTTAACATCTTCGATAAGGTTGTCCAGTTCATTGCTTGTCTGTCTTATGTTATCACCATCAAAATCCATAAATGATTGGTCATTTTTAGATCCTCTTTTATGCTGCGAGATATTGGAACCTTTAGATGATACACCTGAGGATTCCGAAATCTCATTTAGAACTCGACGTCCATTTATGAATTCCTTCATTAATTCGGTGCGTGCATTATTTGCCAGAAAATGTTGCTTCTCATAAAACTGAACGTCAGAATCTGAGTAAAGTTGTATACTTGATTCCTTACGTGAAACTTCAATATCCGATTGAAAACATTTTGAATTGGGTTCATCGGGTTTTTCGAGAACCATCTTCATTTGCTCAATATTTAAGCTTTGTCTATTCAAAGCATCATCTTCAAAATGAAGATAAGGGTCGTGAACACCAAATGCACAAGCTGAATTGAAAAATAAATCAGAATCGCGCACCTGCGCAAGCTTAGATACTGATGTGTGATCATGATCTCTGAAACGTAGTTCTTTTTCGAAGTCTGGATTAGATGGTTCGGCTTCTAGGACTATGTCTAGACCCAGAGTATCCTTAATCACCAATGGTAACAACTTATTTTCATCGCGAAATGAAGGAAATTCCAGTACATCAATATTGCCCTTCTGCTGCTCATGGTTTGTTGCTCCAATAAGGTCCATAAGATTACTAACCACAGACTGTTGCTCTATTGATATGTTTTCAAGCTTCTCCAAACGGACCCAAATTTTGCCGTATTCCGTAGAAAGCAAGTCCAATGCACGCCATGCAAATTTTAACTCTGTTTCGAGTAAACTTATTCGAGTTGCAATTTTGTCCATATAATCAGAGATAATGTAATCAGAGTGTTGTTGGGAATTATATATTTCAGAGAGTTGCTGTTCACTTTTTATAGATATCATGCTACCGTTTGTGTTTAAGTAACTGGAGAAGGAAGAATCCAAAAATGTGGGTGACTTCCTTATAGTTGGTTGCATATTCGACAGTTGCTTTTGATTTGGTGTCCGGACCGAATTAATTTTTAATGGGTAGTCAGGCCTATTAGCTGATTGAATTAATGATTCTGCTCGAACTGGTGCACCAGCTGGACAGTTCGATGAAGATGTGTACATTATTGGTTGTTGCTGTTGTCGCAACTGTTCCTTTATTTGAATCTGGCTTTTTAGAGCATTCTCCGCAAAGATAAGCTTATCTTCTGTGTTAGTTTTAAGTTCCTGCTTTCGGAACAAAATTTTTTTTTCGGGATCCTCAGGCACCGGCTTTAGCGATGTGTTCATCTTTTCGTTTTTAAACTCCGTTTTGAAATCAGAGATTAAATGTCTTTTCACCTAAATAGTTTTTTCTTTTAAAATCCATATATATTTGGCCAAATATTATACATACATTTAGTCCAATACTCAATGCGAAGTCGTCTGAAATTCTGAATGCCTATATACATATGTACCTAAAACAATTTTTGATTTTAGTGAAAAATAAAAATATAGATACACATTAATTGTGATTTAAAATATATCCCTATGATCCAAGGTAAAAGTTACTAACATTTTTTATGATAAGTGTACCAATTTTAAAACACTTTAGTCAATTTCCAGTCGCTAAAAATGCATTTCACTCTCTTTATATTAAATTCAGGCAGATGCCTTCTATTTCACAAAAGTATGTATACACAATTCTTAATATCGCAAGAGAGTTGTTTTAAACAATCGCATCGGATTTTGTTAACTAAAACTGTTTGTGAATACTACGCACGATTATTAATGCGATATTGTGATTTCAAAAATGATGAAATGTATACTACAACTTAGTTAATTCTTTGTTGCGCCTAGATTCGTTCTCATGAAGCTACAGAAAATAATCTTTTTCCGGTTAAAGCTTACAAACTAAGAACTTTAGTTTGTTGTACATTCCCCTAGAAAAAGCTTTTGTATACAGACAAAAATATCAAGCCTGGAACTAAAAGGGGAAATTTTAAGAGAATATTTTTGCTGATTATTGCGCATGCCTCTAGCGCTCCCTTATAACCGTTCCCTTAAAAGTTTCGCTATTTATGTAGGTTAGTCTTTATCAGAAATCCAGAAGTCGGACCTCTTTTTCCACACTAAAAATTCAGGACATCACCGATTTTTACTACCTCTTGTATTGAAAATTATGCCAGCAAATTATGAAGCTTCAAAGTATTAGGGGGTTTTTGCGCACCTTAATTTTAGTTTAAGTTTTAATAAAAAAGTTGCTTAAGTTGATTTTATATTAACAAGAACTAATTCTCTAGCATTCGTAATAATAAAGTTAGCTTTGGCAGGGCCATGGGTATTAACCTTTTCAGGGTTTGCGGAATATTATGAATAGCTACAATTTGGACATATTTTAAAAAAATGTAAAAAAAGGATGCGAAATATTAGAGTTTTTGGTAGATAGGTAATTACCCAAAAATAATTTAAAATTAATATTATTATATGCGCTGTGCAGGCATTCCAAGAATTTACATACTTAAGATACTTTCCATAGTTCTCAGTGCTAATACGGAAAGAAAAACATAGCTTTTTCGATGTGGCTGTTCTTTCTGATTAAAAAAATATTCACGTTATAGAGTCGGAAACGCTTCCCCTGCCGGTTACACACTTTGAGCTTGCAACCAATTGCTATTGGCATATTCAGCTGTTTACTAGTTTGCTTAAAATTATTATTTAAGCAAATTATTTTTATTATTTTTTTGTTCTTTAAGTAAAGTGTATAAGTAATTCAAAATCACTAGCCAAATCGATCTTGCCATGTCTGTCTGTGAAATATTGGGAACTATAAGAAAAAGAGCATTATCACTAAGACTTCTTACTCTAGGAATGCAGTGCAGCTCAAATTGTTTCCGACTCTATAAAGTATATATATTCTTGATCAGTATCAATAGCGACATCGATTAAGCCATGCCCGTCCGTCCGTCTGGCCGTCCGTCTGTCCGTATGAACGCTGAGACCTCAGGAACTATACAGAGTTGAGATTAAGCAGCCAGATTCTCGAGGTCTTTACGCAGCGCAAGTTTATTTCAGCATCACTCTAACGCCCACAAATCATGGAAGACTAAATTCGATGAAATATCAAGAACTATTAGAGCTAGAAAGTTGAGATTAAGTACTGAAATACCGACCATGCGACCATTATGCGACCACGCCCTTTCTTATGCCCACCAAGCTCGAAAAACGATTTTTGCTTTTTGTAGAAAGGCTGATATCTTGGTAACTGTACCGAAATTTGAGTAGCATGTAGTTCCTAATGACGCCTCAAATGCGTATTGTTTTTTCACCATCTGGCTAAAACCAAAACAAAACGAAAACCAAAAATGCGAAAATATCAGGAACTATAAAAGATTGAAAGTTAGACTTGGGAAAACTTTTTTTAGAGGTACCACTGAAACTTGGCTTGAGTTTTCACGACCACTCTAACGCCCACAACATATTTTTGAATATCTATCGATTTACCAATGATTTTTCAAATCGGCGGAATAAAATGTTCTATTTATAAAGAAATTTTGGGTTATTAGACCTCACATGGACAGTGGACAATCATTTAGTAAACATGCTTTTTTGGCAGATGTTGCCACTTTAAATGAATATTTCATACTTGTGTAAACAGTAACGGGTATCTTATAATCGCGGCACTCCCCTGTAGCGTTTCTTCTTGTTTTGTATTCGTACTAAAATAGACGGTCCCACATTAAAAATTGTTTTATACGAGCTAGTCATATAAACGTTTCATTTTCGATGCAGATTATCGAAGTATTTCCACGCAAACTTTCCAACCCCGCCACAAATAAAAAAAAAACTTACATGGGCAATATCCAATTGAAACTGGAGAAGGATGCTTAGCTTACTGGTACGTTCAGCCACTGAGTCAGTATTCTCCATTTTGACCAGGTTATAGCATATGGGATAGTTTTTATTCCATAACTGACTCATGAATAATGACGAAGGTGGTGGTGCTGCTTATACTGCTCATTCAAACGAAATACAACTTTTCATAAGAGCCCACTTAAATATATACTCTATGGTAGATTGATGGCGGTCGTCGAATACCTTAATACCTGCTATATACTCAAACAACAAAGAATTTTATATTTTACAATGGGCCGAGTGCTGAGGCGTCTTGCAAAAATGTTTAAAAATACTCAACATTCCAGCTAATTTTAAAGGGAATATTGCAAAAAAAAAAAAAAGATATAAGATATTTAACTATTAAAAATGTAGGTGCTATATAGAAACGATTATCTTCAGTTTTGGGAACAAGAAAAAGTCACATGGGGCCAAATCCGGTGAATATGGTGGCTGAGGCATTATTGTGGTGTTGTTTTTGGCCAAAAAATCCAAATCCTTTGATCCATATTTTTCGATAGCAAAAAATCGCCGAGCTCGCAAAATAACTTGTAACTTTACGCCTCTCACAACCAAACAAAAGAGGATGTTCCATTGAAACTTGGTACAGATGTTAGGGAAGAGTGTACCAATATAACAAAACAAAAAAATCGATAATCGAAAAATTTGAAATTCGCGAAATTTGAAGAGTCACCTTACTTTTTGAACACACCTCGTACCTTACGTTACCAATGAAGGAAATTCAATTTACATTACCTTCCCATTTACAAATTTAAGATTGCCCGCATTTAGATATACATAAAAAACGGTTTGCAATGAGCTCATAGCTGATAACAAGACTAAAAAAATCCAACAGTATAGAAGACATTTCGGCACATAAGTCAACTCGTAATTTCATTCGGGTTATTTAACCTTGCAAACCTTCAGTTTAGTTAACGAATGTCTTATGTATATATAACACGATATGAACGCATAATGCTTAACAAATTTTGACCATCTATTGATTGATACGGATTTATGTCCGCAGTCCAATGCTTTTCCAAAAGTTTTCGGTAAACATTTTTCTTAAACGATTCCTTATTCTTGTTAGTAAGAAACATATGTTATTAATTGTAAACATAAACAGTATGTATGTCAGGATCAATGTGGTGGCATATTTAGAGAAAAACTTTTATCTACTGTGAAACACTGTACAAAATTGGATTTTATATGATACAAATTATTTGTCATTATAATTGAAACGTGTTAAATTATGTTTGTAATGCATTCTTAAATTATATATTATCTACTTACATTAAGTTGCATGATAATTTTGTTATACGCCCAGTGCCATCTTTGCCCAGCTGTGATTTCCGGTTGACGTATCATCTGCATGTTACCACCCACGACTTCTTCAGTTTCACCTCTCAATAGTGTTTTTTTCTTTTGCGGTAACAGATTATTTAAGTCTGTTAGATCGGAGAGCTGATCATGTATGTCTTCTTCTCTTTCATCAAGGTCTGGGCAAGTTTTTTCTTCGTTAAAACTTGTTTTTTTTGCCGTTGGTTGGCAAATAAGACTGTCATGCTTTTGAATATGATTTTTTATTGGAGCCAAGGAATCGCTCTTTATTTGGATGCTGGTTGAAGTCAACGCCACCTCCCCATTTGTATCCATCTTCAAATTTCGTCCTTCGCTAGGCCCAACGCTACCACTAGAGCTTTCATCTAGATAATTGCCACTGTCTTCTTCGCTGTGATAGCTATCGTAAATAAAGTCATCGTCTTGTCCTTCGTCAATGAAATCTAATGAGGATTGTGCTTGACAAGTCAATAGCATACTGTTGGTCTGCTTCACATATTTCTTAATTTTTGGTTCATGTTGCTCCTGCTCTCTCTGCTGCTCGAGATACTTATATTCATCTTCCTCGTTAAAGTAATCCTCTCGATAGTCATAACCATTATTGACGTGTTCATAATAACCATTTATCTGATTCGACGGTGTCGTCTGCTGAAGATCCATGTAGTAATCATCCTGCTCACCATCAATGCGATAACTCGGTTCCTTGCCGATTGATGGATTAACATCTAAATCATCTAAATCTGATTCATCGTCATATATCTCCGTTGGCATCTGTTTAATTAGCAACCCCGATTTACCATTGACGGTGGGCAGTTTTTTGCCGGTGGACCCTGACGGCGGCACCGTCGGTAATGCTTTTGAAACATTACTAATTACTTGAGATTGCTCTGAAAGCACCGAGTCATTTCTAAACTGATGTTGATTTCCGTTCGACTGGTAGTTGACGAATGTCTCTTTTTCAATATATGTACTATACTCCTGCATTTTGATATTGGTGTTCTCAAATTCATCGATAGTATTTTTATAAGGACTTGATAGAGATTCCTCATTAGTCAGTTGATAACTGTCCACATTCGATTCACGTTTTATCGTAGTAGTAGTCGAGGATATACCATCCATGTCATGTATACTGATCGTTGCGGGTAAAAGTGTCTGTTTTTGCCCCACTACTGACACTACTGTAGATGCACCTTGATTGACAGCGTGCGTTGCTGATTGCACAGCTGCAGCTGCTTTCCCTAAAATGGATCCAAGCATACCGCTTGATGATGTGCTACCTTTTTTTGTCATAGGTTCATGCCAATACGTTGGATTATTTTTTATTTTTAGATTTTCTATACCAAGTTCCGATTCATTTGGAACATCCTTTAGCAATGTACTTTGTGTGTTAAAAGTTGCGAGCTGTCCTTCGTCTGACACGTGATACGAATAAGAATTTTCTATTAAACCATACTCAGATCTACGGTCAAGCATACATGCATTCATCATTTTATCAGTTAAAAGTGTCTCATCATAGTTTTCATAGTAATTGTCACAAACATTTTCTAATAAAGTAGAACTAGTTTCTACCATTTCCACATTGTTTAAATGAGTTTCCCCCTTCAAGGTGTTTGGAAGTGTCGCCGGATAGAAATGGTTTTCTGCGGTTTTATAAAGAGGTGGAGATATCGTTGTCTCATAAGTACAGC